CACCATCATCACCATCACCACTTCCCCACGCCAAGGATTCGCAGGCTTGCAATCCCAGGGAGGATGCTCTGGTGCGGTTTAGGACTGCCAGGGCGCGGCAGTCACGTTGGCCCGAGGTGCGGAAATCCCAGGAATGGTAGTGGTGTTCTGGCGCGGTTTAGGATAGTCAGGACGCGCGCGACCGTCACGTTGATTCGCGGCTTCGGCTTGAAGCCCCAGCAACGGCATTTTGGTGCGATTGAGGATTCTCATACCTGTTGTCTTCCAATAGGGTACTTCCCGCAACGGAGATCAAGCATTGCTGGAGCCTGTGAGGAGCAAACCTGGAGGGAGGATTTACTGCAACATTGTTGACACGCTCCTGGGCTTCCACTGGTCCTCCTCCTTCTCTTCTTCCGATATTTCTTTTCTCCCCATGCCTTCCTTCATTCCACCTCTCTCTCTCTCTCTCGCAGCCACCGACGCGTCACCCAAAGCGCGCGCCCCGCTCCCGGCGGAAGGAGGGGAAGGTCGTCCGCACACTCATAGTTACCACGAACTCCTTCCTCCTCCTCCTCCTCCTCCTCCTTCCTCCTTCCTCCTCCCTCCTTCCTCCTCCCTCCTCTTCCCTCCTCCTCCCTCCTCCTCCTCCTCCTCTCTCCTCCTCTCCCTCCTCCTCCTCCTCCCCCTCCTCCTCCCTCCTCCTCCCCTCCCCTCCTCCTCCTCCTCCTCCTCCCCCCTCCTTCCTCCTCCTCCTCCCTCCTCACCCTCACTCCTTCTCCCTCCTCCTTCTCCCTTCCTTCTTTCCTTTCGCCTCCTACTCCTCCTTCCTGCTCCTCATGCTCCTCCTGCTCCGCCTCACTCTCCCTCCTCCTCACCCTCCCTCCTCCTCACCCTCCTTCCTCCTCCTCCGTCCTCCTCCTCCTCCTCCTTCCTTCCTTCCTTCCTTCCTTCCTTCCTTCCTTCCTTCCTTCCTTCCTTCCTTCCTTCCTTCCTTCCTCCCCCTCCTCCTGCTCCTCACCTTCCTGCTCCTCCTCCTCCCTGGCTGGCGCTCCTGGGCCCCGAGCAGCCGGCGTCCCCCGGCTCCGTGGCCGCCGCCGCGCGCGCGCCGCGCTGGGCGGCGGGCGCCCGCGGGCCGCCTGCAGGGGCGGAGCGAGGGGGGGGGGGGGCCAACGAGCGCAGCGGGGGGGCACGGGGAGGGCACGAGGAGGGCACGAGGGGGGAGGGCACGAGCAGCGAGGGCACGAGGGCACGAGGCACGAGGGCAGGGCACGAGGGAGGAGGGCACGAGGGAGGAGGGAGGAGGGCACGAGGCACGAGAGAGGAGCGCACGCGGAGCGAGGAGCGCTCGCCGGGCCGAGGGCGCCCGCGGGCGTGCCCGGGCGGGGGAGGAGGGGGGGCACGGAGGCGGCGAGGGCGGGAGGGACGGTGGCGGAGGGCACGAGGGCACGGAAGCAGAAGCCCTCTCCCTCCTCCCGCCTTTGCCCCTCTTCTTCGCCCCCTGTTCCTCCTCCTGCCTCCCCCCCCCCCCTCCGGCCTCCTCCCTCCCCCCTCAACACTTGGGGCTCAGATTCCAGCCTCTTTCCTCACGTGGGCATGCGGCTCCAGAGGAGGGCGGGATGAGAAGGGCAGGAGGGAGGGAGGGAGGCATGGAGGCTTGGCGGAGGCGGGGGGAGGGGGGGCGAGCATTAGGATGACACGGAGCTGGAAGTGGAAGCGAGAGGAAGGGTGGGGGAAAGGAGGAGTGAAGGGCCTTCCCGCGGCAGGGGGGACGGAGAAGGAGCGAGCCCGGGAAAGGGATGGGGAACTGAGTGCAGGTAAGTACGGGAAATGGGACGGAAATATGATGGGATGGATATAAGAACAAGGCAGGAGGGAGGGGAAGGCAAGGGGGGCAGGTGGAGGAAAGGGGAAGAGAAGAGAAGTGGAGAAAATGGAGTGGAGTCTCCCCACCTTCCCTTCCTCTCTCGCTCTCTTACACTTTCTCGCTCCCTCTCCCTCTCTCTCTCTTCACTCTCTCCCCCTCCCTCCATCCATTATTATATATTTCTCTCTCTGTCTCTCTCTCTCTCTCTTGTTTTTTATTATTGTTGTTTTCTCTCTCTCTCTCTCTCTCTCTCTCTCCATACCCCCCCCCTCCCGCCCTTGCGTTTTTTTTGTTTGTTCCTCTCTCTCTCTCTCTGTATATATACACATATAGAGGCTCAAAGCCAGGCGAACAATTCTTATGCCCCGTCGCCTCCCCTTGCTTTGGGGCATAAGAACAAATACGGCTGCTGACGCAGATTCTCCCCTCCCCCCTCCTCCCTCTGATCCTCCTCGCATTGATCCTCCCCTGGGCGCTGATGCCAGTATGCTCTCGCCGCTGCTGCTGCCCCTTGCTGCTGCTGCTGCTGGTCTTCATGGAAGCCCTGCGCAGCAGGACGACCAGGCACGGCCAGCCAAACTAGTTGAGCCAGTCAAATCGAGGAGGAGGAGGAGAAGGAGGAGGACCTGGTACACCAGCCAATCGACTAAGCAACCAACATCAGTACGGGATGCTCGGCCGGCCAGGCCAGACCAGACCAGGGCCGGCCAGGCGAGCCGAGCACGCTGAAAGAACCGAGCCAGCCAGCCCAGAGGAGAAACGTTCGCGGCCATGCCGATGGCACCAGCAGAGGGTGTTCGGAGTCGAAAGAACCCTGCCGAATGGACCAAATTGACTAACCATATTAGATAGACCAGTCAGGCCCAGTGGAGCATCCACACCAGACAAGCAGACCAGCTAGACCAACCAGACATGAAAACAGCAAGCCCACACCAACCATGTCAAGAAGACCAGCTAGACGAAACAGACCAACAAAGCAATTCGACCCAGTTCAACCGAACTAGTTGGACGTACCAGACAAGACGAAGCAGACCAACCAGGTGAACTACTTGACTAGCAAGGCAAGAGCAGACTAGAACAGCCGGACCAGACCAGACCAACCAAGACCAGCCAAACAAATTCGAACTAACCAGGCCACCAGAACCAGACCGACAATGCCGCCCAGACCGACCAGACCAAGTAGACCAATACAACAAAACCAGCCAGACTAACCAAATGAACTCTCCCGCTCCGTGCTGTGCGCTGTGTGCTGCACTGCGCGGTAGAGCAGATCAACTCGACCAAGCAGACCCGCCAGCCATGTAGACCAGTTGAGCCCACACCAGAATAAAAAGATCAACGAGACCATATGCACCAACTAAACCAAAACCGCATTGCAAAACATCTGCAATGGAAAAACGGTGCCATGCAACAAACTTAAACCAGGTAGATAACCCAGGCAAGCATGTCAAACGAGCCAAGTAAATTAACACGATCAGCCAGCCGTCCAGACGAGTCAGCCAGACCAGACGAAGCAGACACACCAGACCAGCGAGCCATCCAGAGTAGATAAGCTCGAACCAGACTCAGCAGAACAATCACTACCAACCAGACCAACCAGATCAACAAGACCAAGTAGACCAACCAGGCCCGCCAGCTAGTTAGACCTGCCAAGTCCAGGCCAAACTAAGAAGATGTACACCAACCAAACAACACCTGCATTGCACAACAAAGCTGCAGTCCAACACAAATGCATAGAAAACAAACACGCTGCAATGCAAGAGCACATGAGCTGCTGTAATCGTGGTTGGCGTTGTGCGCTTCGCTCCTCAAACCGCATTCCGCTCGCACGCTGAAGCAGACGCCCAAGCTGTAGCAACAAAACAGCCATGACCCGAAGCACACCAAATCTGTATTGCAAAACACAACTGCATTGCAAACGAAACTGCATTGCCAAGAACATCTGCAACGCCAAGCAACACTGCGTTGCTGTCGTGGTGGTTTGCGCTGCGCGCTTCGCACCCCCGGGGGCCTCCTCAAACCACATTTGGCTCGCACGCGGAATCGCAATCGTATGTTCAAGCTCAAGCCTCTAGCTGCGAAACAGCGACACACCGAAGCAGACAAAACTGCAATGCCATGGACCAAACTGGTTTGTTGCAGTCGTAGTGGATGGCGCTGCGTGCTTCGCATCTCCCTAGCCCTCCTCAAACCGCATTCGGCTCGCACGCGGAATCACAATCATAAGCTGAAGCTCTAGCAACGAAACAGCGGCACCTCGAAGCAAACCCAAACTGCATAAAACAAGCAAGCCGCAATGCAATCAACTTGCAATGCAAACTAACTGCGTTGCTGTCGTCGAGGTTGGCGCTGCTCGCATCGCACTCCCCTGGACGTCCTCAAACCACACGCAGCTCGCACGAATAATCACACTCGTAAATCCAAGCTCTGGAAGTGAACCATCGGCGCTCCGAAGCAGACCAAAACTGGACAGCAAAAGACTGCAATGCAAGAGCGCTGCAATGCACACCACAAATATGTTGCTGTAGTCGTCGTCGTGGTTGGCGCAGCGCGCTTCGCACCCCTCCTGGACCTCCTCACATCACACCTGGCTTGCCCGCAGAGTCATAATCATCAAAATCAGAAGTTCAAGCTCTAGCAGCGATACAGCGGCTCTCCAAAGCAAACCAATACAACATGCAAAAACACTGAACTGCACAAAAACGGCAATGCAACAACACATGCACATGTCTTGCTGTCGTCGTCGTGTTGGTTGGCGCTTTGGGCTTCGCACCTGCCTGAACCTCCTCAAGTCACATTCGGCTCGCACGCAGAATCATAACCAGAAGTTTAAGCTCGGGCAGCGAAACAGCGGAACTCCGAAGCTCAAGCTCAAGGCTGAAGCTTCAAGCTTGTTATGTTGAAGCTTGGCGTCCCGCCGTGCGCTGCACGGGTAAGAATCTCATATGCACGGTATTTGTATGCAGAGGCATACATCTGTATATATATATATATATATGTGTGTGTGCGTACAGGTAGCTATATCGCATATCTCTATATACATGTACGTATACACGTATTTACCAGGGCACCCAGTGGACATATATGTGTAAATGCATTACAAGTACCTAAAAACGTATGAGCATACACCCCTGTGCGTCTCTCTCTCTCTCTC